CAAAGAGAAACAGGAGCTCGGTTTATAACGTTGCTTTAAGTTAGCGCTAGAAGCCTCACCTTATATCATAAATCTTTCCAACCTGCCTTAGAGTTGAAAGAAGTAGTAATAAAAACAAGACTGCTCGTATATCAGGGCAAAGCACTGAATGTTCCGACTGTCCCTTAATTGATATCGAATAAATTTTGGGAAAAGAAAATATTGAAAACCTATACAATTTGGACAATATCAATCTGTAAAACTTTTCGGACGACTTATTAGCTAGCCTCAATTCAATTTGGAACGATTGATTTTGTTGCGCGGGATAGTTCTCCACGCATAATTAATTCGCGTTACGCTCTCACCCGTACAGTACCCAAGGGATTTTCTGTGCAAGATCTGAAATTCTTTATTTCGTACATGAGATGATTATCTGATCTTGATAAGACTTTACAAATTTCAGATCTGATATTTAGATCTGAAATGGAAAATTTCAGATCTGAAATAACCTTGAAAAACAAAATTTCAGACCGGAAATTAGATATGAAATAACCAATCCTTAGAACGTTATTTAAACAATTCACAACCTATTTCAGATCTGAAGTTTAGATCTGAAAAAGATTATTTCACATCTGTTTTAGAAAATTTACTGGGTACGGGCAGCAATATGAATCAACTCATCAAAGCGCGCATACAAAACATGACAAATTTGGCAATTTTCAAGCCCCCAGAACTTTTAAAAAAATAATTGGAGGTGAAATAACTTTTTAAATATGAACTCAAGAAGTCAATATCGTAAATGGGTTATAAAAAGTTTTGGTTGAAAATAATTATTTCGATCGGTGAAAATAAAAAAACTACACCGAGCAAGAATATTCCCTTTTCTTTGACACCACTAAACGCGGGGTTTAGTTTAGTTTAGATACAAGTTAAATTTAAAAATATGAGAAATGTTACCTTTCTCAGGTCTGGCAACGTTATAAAAAGAGTTTTATTAAAAAAAAATTGATTTTCTCAAAAAACGGAACAATGTTATCAACTTGACAAAGAGAGTAAGGATGATGTAATAAAGATTTAGAACGATCTTTTCTGATTCCGGAACACGTCAATTTCTCCTTGTCTAGTCTTGAAATGTTTGTTTTATCCGATAACTCAAAAATAAATTGTACAGTATTGTTCTGAAAATTTTCCTGCGTTTTTTTGCAGGTTTGGTTTGCAGGTATTGCCCGCATTTAAGAAAAGTGAAAATAAATCGATTTTAATGGATTTTCGTGGTCTAAAATGTTGTAAATATAATCGATCCCCATGTTACGTTCAAGACAACAAAATTGGACTAAGAATGGATTTAAATCCATTTTTTTCGCCAAATTAAAATGCATTATAATTCATTATAATGGATTAAATAATAAGTAGGAAATCACATGTAAATGGATTTTTTCCTTCTTTATTTTTTTTTTATCAAATGAGTTATGCAGAAACTTTGCAAAGCGAGTGTACGGCGTAATCCATTTCAAAACCTAAACTCAAATTGCAAAAAGATTCCGTTCAGCTCTCCCATGCTCCTTCCCCCAACGTTTGCCCCTTTGCTCCCCTTCAATCCCCATAACGTTTACCCTTATGCTCCCCCCCACTGAACCCCCCCCCCCCACTGAACCCCCCCCCCCACTGAACCTCCCCCCCCACCAGAACAATCACCCCCATCCCCACCTGAACACATTCCCCCCACCTGATGATGAGTAACGTAAAAAAGTAACAAAAGTATCAAAGTTAGGTAGAAAAAAAATAAATTGAACAACAAGTAACAAGTAACCAACGTAACCAACTTTAGTTTAAAACGTAGAAAAGACTTTATGTGCGTTGAAATTCGCATCTCAGTAAAGTGGGAACAAAATCGATTATAATTTAGTTTCTTTGTCAGTGACCACAAAAGCGAAAAAAATCGATTATAATGAATGAAAAAAGGTATTTGTTGCCTCGAAAAATAGTAATATTATAATCCATTTTTAATTGATTATAATCGATTTATTTTCACTTTTGTGGACACTGACAAGGAAACTAATTACAGTTTTTATTCCTCGAACTCCAATGCGGGTGGGTCCTATAGTGAAATAATTATTTAACTCGGACTTCAAAATTAGAAAAATTAATTAAGACTTAAGTTAATGTTGTAGATACAATACTACAAAACGTAGAACAAAAGTAACCTTTATCAAATCATAGAGGACATATTTATAAGTCTTTTCGAGATTTTGTTTACATATTTATAGGTTCCAGCGGGAAAGACTGTTGCGGTAGTTGGTGCCTCAGGGTCTGGCAAGAGTACTTTGATCCGACTCATACTCCGCTTCTACGACATCCAAGGGGGGTGCATTTCAATAGACGGCCAGGACATCTCAACAGTGACGCAACATAGTCTCCGGAAGAGTATCGGCCACGTCCCCCAGGAGACTGTTCTGTTCAGTGACACAATCGGGTTAGTGGGGAAAATGTCGAAGTGACTAAAGCACGATAGGGTCAACCAAATAATTTTCCGAGCTTTCTTAAAAACACCGTATTTTGAATAAACTTTCTGCGCCTCAGAAAAAATTTATTTTGTAGAAACACGCAGAAAGAAAACGTTTTGACCCAAATGGCGCGTTTTTGGGGCGCCTTCCCCCTCAAATTTAGTATATAACGGCGCTAGATGCGATTTTTAAAAAAATTGTGCCAAAAAGTAAGCAGTTGATACCAACAGTTTAATAAGAACTCTCTCTTAAAATTAGTTAACTTTAGTTAACACCAGCCCTGCTCACAAAAACACTTTTAATAATACGACAAGGAGAGATTCAGACCAGTTTATCCGACTGAGACAACTTTTAAAGTTTTTTAAGAATCAAAATAACAACTAAATGGGCTGTAATGTGATGCCGCATTTCACGTTTAGACGCTTTCTTTAAAGTAGTTATAATCAGGAGGAAAATAGGCAAGCTGCTCCATACTAACTCCTTCCCACACTCGTTAGAAGTGGTCGGAACGGGGCCTAGGAAATTAGACGAAAAGCAAATTAGACGTGACCAACAAAAACGAATTTAGACGTCGATGCAAAATTACAAACATGGGAAATTAGACGTAATTGTTTGTTCGTGTCTGAAATTTGTTTACCGACTACAATTAACTTTTGCAAATCTTAAATGCAAATCAATTTTTCACATGCCGCAATTTTCACATTCCGCATTCCCCCGGTCGGAACATAATTCCTCTACAAACTTCGTAATTCAGCTTGTCAATTAAAACTAGGAATATGGTTGGACGACAATTCGTAACATACTATAATCCCGGGATGACCGAAGCTTCTTATCATACAATTACCATATATGAGAAACTTCTTGTCATACAATGCCATACGTACAGAACATTGTATGAAATCTCTATGATAAAGATTTTTCCATAAATGAAAATTGTATGATAGGTGTATTTCCATAAACCAAAAAGTTTGAGTTTTCTTCCTAAATTTATTTCTGAAAAATTTTCGGTTGTGTTTGCAGCCGAACACAAGTGACAAAGACCTTGGTTACTCAAAGCACCAAAGGTTGGACGGTCTTTGCATTTACAATGCATAGAAGACGACCTGAGTTTGGCTGTCTTTCACAATTCATATAACAAAAGCAACAAACTTTTAGTTTTTGGCAAAGTATTTTAATGGTGATTATTTTAAATTTTTGAATTTTCAAATTATCAGACATTAATCAAGGCATATATAAACACCCCATACAAAAGAAATAGGAATTTTCAGCGTTTTTGAAGAAAAAAAATTAAGTCAAAAGAAAATAAAAGCCAATATTATCGTAACCAGGACTACGTTATGCACACAAAAAATTAAATTTTGCATGCAAAAAAAAATTTTTCGAAAAATGTTTGTTTGCGTACGAAATTCGATTTGCGGTTGAAAAAAGTTTTTGGGCCAAATTTTAGCTAAATTACTTGCGTCGCCATCAAAAATGTGTCGCCATCAAAAAAATGCCAGTCATACAATCTCCATATATGGGAATTGTATGATAAGCATTTTTTTCAAAAAATGAAAACCTCGTTTTCTTTTACCAGACTGTTTTATTAGAATCAAACAGCCACAGAAATAAGTTTATATCTTTTTTCAACCACTTTTAGAAATTATATGAAAATTGTATGGCAAGCATTTTTCCACACACTTGATGTATGGAATTGTATGATAAGCATTTTTGATGTATGGAGGTCAACCCGGGATTAGTATAACAGCCGACAATTGACAATTAGTATAACAAGACTGCTCGTATCAGGGCGAAGCCCTGAATGTTCCGACTGCCTTTTAATGTTTAATAAAATGTAATAAAAATGAAAAAAAAATTCTTAAATTTGAAACTTTTTATGAAAATCATCCCCCCACAAGCCATATAGAGTACAAAAGGATAGATTTCGCTCCTGGTAACAAATAAATTATGCCAAATAAGCTTCTTCCAACTAATTTGGAACGATTTCTAAGAGGGATTAAATCTCCGCTTACGCGTTAATAGCGCGAATTATATCGCGCGTTAATTGTCCCAAATTGGTTAAAATGACCAAAATGGCAATCTTTAAACCCTCATAACTTCACGAAAAATGATCACAGGTGAAATATCTTTTCAAATATAAGCTCAGGACAACAATAGCTTTCGAATGATAAAAAAAATTCCGTCAAAAATGGCTAGTTAAAAAGTCGAAATTTGTCTGAAGAAAAAAAAACCCACCCCGAACACAAATATTCCGTTACTTTCGTATCGAAAGTCTGAACAACAAGGCAGTGGCAAGTAACCAACACTTGGTCCGTTTTCTTGCGTTGCGCTCACACTCAGCACGAGTAGTTTTGTTCTGGTGAATCGAAGTATAGCTTTGTTTTTGTAATCAGCCATCACAAATTTCCGCCAGGTATGAATCGGCGCCTGCCACAAGTTTGCCTGTTGTATCAAAATTCGTTCTTTGTTTTAAGCTATAACATCCACTACGGAAGGCCACATGCAGAAAAAGAGGAAATGAAAGCAGCTGCCGAAAGAGCTGACATCCATGAGAGGATCCAGGCATTCCCAGATGGGTATGAGACGAGAATAGGCGAGAGGGGACAGAAGCTGAGTGGGGGAGAGAAACAACGGATAGCAATCGCCCGGACTGTACTCAAGGTCAGCTTTAATTGATTGGTTAATTAAAATCCCTGAAGATTAGTTCATATATCAAGTTCTTTGCAGTAAACTCTTATGCATCGAGGATTGGTGTTCGCCTGACCACCTTTTTAAAAACCATTGTTAGCGCCCATTTCTAGGGTCTCTAGCTGTTATTGCTTTTTATTGACAATACAGGGACCCTAAAACTGTCTTTTATTAATAGTATTTTTTAAATATTTAAGGCACCCAAAATAATCTTGTTGGACGAGGCCACTTCTTCCCTGGACATTCAGGCAGAGAGGAACGTCCAGGGTGCTCTTCATGACGTCAGCAGAGGCAGGACCACTCTTTTAACGACCCATAGACTGTCAGCTGTGGTCAATGCCGATATGATAATAGTCCTTAAAGACGGGGTCATAGTTGAGCGAGGAAGTCATAGGGAACTGATGGAAACTCCTGGCAGTGTTTATTCCGAGATGTGGAATCAACAAGCCAAGGATTTTGTCAAAACGGAAACTGATGAAAAAGCAGATACGCCTAAGAACTATGATTGAAAGTATAATGTATAATTAAAAACGATATTGTTTTGACGTTAAACTTTTGTAGCATTGACTTAGTTTTTGTTGGTTAAGATAATTTATCAACAAGGGGAACGACCAACATATGAGCTGTTTACTTCTTCACGGCGAACCGCTGCTGTGCACCATTGCTAAGGTTAAGAAGGGTCTAGGAAACAAGCCGACGGGACTTCAAGCCGAAGGGATTTCAACCCGACGGGACTTCAAGCCGAAAAAATAAAAAGACGGTTTATACGAAATTTAATTACGAAATTACTGCAAATATTAGAAACACCTTCCCAATAGTTTATCAAAGACAAAGTTCCATCTAAGTATGAGTTTTTTAGTCGGGAAATTTTCTCATTGAGGTCTCGATACTTCTTTTTTCGAATACTAGATGCCTCAGAGAAATACGTCGTATATCGAGTCACGAGTATTGCTCCTGTTCTCCAAGTTTTTGGACAACCGTCCAGTAAACCGGATTTTTTGTCCCCACAGATGGGTTCCAGTCATGATACCAGCACTCACATTTTTTGGTTGTCCTCAAATTCAGGGGCCGATCAAAAACATTCCATAAAGTTAAAGGAGTTTGGCCAAAAATCCAAAAATTCCACAAATAAGCAAAAATTTGTCCGATTTCTGGATATCGCGAAATAATCAGGTCTTCTTCGATTTCGGCCTCGAAACTTCTGAGAGCGGCTTCAATTTCATTTTCAGGCAAAATTGCTCAGCTGAAAAGTTTTTGCGCATTTTTTTTCAGGTTTTGTCTTGATAGCCTTTTTGAAGACCAAAATCTTGAAATTTTCGAAATATACATTGGGAAAAGTGGAAACATCATCCCCAATGAGTAGATACTACGAACATTTTCTTGACAGCTGCAATTACCCCGCTTTCGTAGCCTGTTATGATTGATTCTGGCATCAAATGGACCAAAAATTTTTCAAACGATTTTTTGCTCAAAATTGTAAAAAATTTCTCCAGTTTTTTTAAGCCCAAAAACGCCCAAACTACCGGCACAAACCATTCGCCGTCCGTTCGTTTAATTTTGGATAAACGGTGGGGGGAGTTGAAAGTTTCAATGTCCATATTATTTTTTGAACGAACCAAAAATTCTAGGCCTTCAGTTGTCGCAAAAATTACGAGGTCAATTTCTTGATGAAGAACAAATTCTTTAACCTGTTTCGTTTTTTGCCATGCACCCTCAATTTTCACTTCTTCTAAAGTTTTTGGAGATTCTGGTAAAATTTCGGCTCTTTTTCGGCTATGCTTTTTTTGATTTTTTCGTATTTTGGGGGCAAAAAATCTTCAGAAATCCCCTTTATCGCTTCGTCATACGATTTCTTCAAATTTCTACTGACATTTTGCTCAACGCTCTGAATCACTGTTTTTCTAAAGTTTCATGCTGATTTTTATTTTGTCTGGGGGAGGTGATTGCGTTCTCCAGGCTTTTTGATAACTGATTTTGAGTCTCCTGTCATTGTAACACGCGATGGACAATTGAGTTCACAACAATTGAAATAAATAAAGATTTCATTTGTTTTATTTCTTCGGAACATAAAGCCGTTCATATTTAAATTTTGGCCTTTTCTGTTTTTAACTTCGATAAAAAAAAATCCATACTTAGTGAGAAAATAATAAAAAAAAAACTTTTTAAAAACTTGTGGTAATTATTCTCAAAAGCTCAACCGGAACAAAAATTTTCGTTTTCGCGACCTTTCTAAGTTAATTCTAAAATTACATGCAAATTTTCGACTTCCTGACTATATTTCTCATATTTGGCTGAAAATCTCGTCAGCTTGTTGTCTGGCACCCGGTTACGAATTGCAAGCAATTTTTTGGCTGTTTTTCTAATCTGCGTAATTTTGCCTGTTTTGGCCCAAAAAAAATAGGCCAAGCAACGAGCATGGATCATTGTGGGCCTAGAACATCCGACTTTTGACAGAGAGGCGGAGCCCTAACCACTTCACCACCGCTCCCCTAATGGTGAAATTTTTTTCCCAGAAATGCGCAAATTTACAAATTTATTTTGTTGTAACCCTAGTTAATTGTCCAAATAATATATAGTTTTCTCAGTTAACAATAATTTTAAGCACAGGGGCGGATCTAGGTTTTTTCTTGAGTGGGGGAGAGGGGGAATTTCAAAACAAAAAGTTGCAGACAGTGCGCTGCAGACAAATTTTTGAAAAAAGGACAAAAAGGCGTTTCTATTCACTTTTTGAATAATTTTGACCAAAAGAATAGCATTTTTTCGGCGCGCTCCCCCCCATCAAATTAAGTTTAATTTGGCACCACAAACGCTTTTAGAAAAATTTTCGGGTGAGTCAGCCAAAAAAGGATATCTCAAAATAGTACAAAGGGGTGACCCTTTGGGTCTTCAGGGGGTCGGATCCCTGATGGAGGGTGTCCCCTGGTGGTTTGGCATACGGTGATCTTTCACTCTCGAAAAGTGTACCCCAAGTTGCCGAAAATTGAAGGGTTCTTTTGACTGGATTGACTGCATCCTATCGAGCGCTGGGGCGTTATCAATCGTGCAGAAATTCATATCGACACGGCTGTTTTTCTGCTTGCATATACTAAATGCATTACGGTCAGGAAATTACCCTAACTAAATTTGGTAGCATCATGGGCAACGTCTTAAAAAATGAAAAAAATGAAAACCTGGTGATATTGATAATTGCAAAAAAAAACTTGCAGAAATAAATCACGAAAAATTTTTAGATGGGTTGGCATAAACCCTTTTTTGTACAATTCCCTTCCCGTACTTTGTGTAATGCATTTTAAAATTTGAAACATGACTGCTCGTATCAGGGCGAGACCTTGAATGTTTCGACAGCCTTTTAAGGTCTATGCGGAAATAATAAGAAGAAAAAATTAACTGTAATAAAAATAATATAACACGAAAAAATAAGAGAAAGAAAATAAATATTGATTTTTTAATCTTAAGATTTTTTGCAAAAATCATCTACCACACGCCATTTTAAGTACAAAGTGATGGATTTTGCTCCTAGTAACAAATCATTTATGGCGAATAAGCTTTCTTCAACCAATTTGGAACGATTTCTCAGACGGATTAAATCTCCGCTTACGCGTTAATAGCGCGAAATATATCGCTCGTTAATGTCCCAAATTGGCCTAAATGGCTATCTTTAAACCCTCATAACTTTATGAAAAACAAGCACAGGTGAAACATCTTTTCAATTTTAAGCTCAGAACAACAATACTTTTTGATCGATATATAAAATTCTTTCAAAAATGGCTAGTAAAAAAATTGCTAACTTGTTGTCCGGCACCCGGTTACGAATTGCATGCAATTTTTTGGCTGTTTTTCTAATCTGCGTAATTTTGCCTGTTTTGGCCCAAAAAAAACAAGCCAAGCAACGAGCATGGATCATTGTGGGCCTAGAACATCCGACTTTTGACAGAGAGGCGGAGCCCTTACCACTTCACCACCGCTCCCCTAATGGTGAAATTTTTTGTTTTCCAGAAATGCGCAAATTTATTTTGTTGCAATCTCAGTTAATTGTCCGGTTTTCTCAGATAAAAATAATTTTTAGCACAGGGGTGAATCTAGGTTTTTCTTGAGTGTGGGGGGGGGGGAATTTCAAAAAAAAATTGAAAAATTTGGCGACATTTTTTTAGGTAGACCCAATTGATTTTTTTGAACTCTCCCATATCACTATAAAGACCTCATTTGATCAATTTGGCGTCACAGGCGCTTTTAGAAAATTTTTAGGGTGAGTCAGCCAAAAAAAGGATATCTCAAAATAGTACAAAGGGGTGACCCTTTGGGTCGGCAGGTGGTCGGATCCCTGATATATATATATATATATATATATTTGTTACTGTTACCGGTTATCCCTGGTTAATTTTGTTTTAGAAATTAATTTTAAAGCCAACAATTGTAGAAGAACGATCATTATTGTAAAAAATTCCTCAAAACGGTCAATAAATGAATCAATGAATCTACTTAGGGAACCGCGAGAATGTGAACGGGGGAGAAGAAGATCAAGCTGCGGGATGAGACATTGCGAGAGAGATGGAGGCACACTTAGAAACTCTGGTCTTGAGAACCAAAGCAGTTTGCAAACAAAGCCATTTACTTAGGAAGAACTATCAATAAATTGAAACTTCTTCAAAACAGTCAAAAAATGAATCTAATTCTTGAGTTTTTGAGAATAGGAACCGCGGGAATCGGAACCCAAGGAATGAAGATCAAGCTGTGGAATGATATTATGCAAAAAAATGGAGGCACACTTAGAAGCTCTGGTGTTGAGAACCAAACCAGAGGCAAACAAAATTGTACTTGTCCCCTCGAATCGGATCATTAGGGATGTACGTCTTTGAACCAGTGCACGAATGACCACCAGTGAACGAAGGGGAGATAGAGCGACCAAAATTATAGATAAGTTGAGCAGGGCCATTTTAGGCAACAGCACCTAAACCTCATCTCTGTGATGAACGGGACTACGCTGAACTGGTGCACACAAAGTGTACTGCATGAAGCAATGATAGGTGAACTGCTGTTTGAAAACATCGCGGAATCTAAATTGATAGCGATCAGGTCTTATGACGAATTCTGTGATAAAATGGGCAATATGGATCGGGGTGACCTCAAATTATACCCGAAGCTGTGGGTCTTCAGGCCCTAGGTCAAAGGCAATTTTAAAAGCAAACTGGACGAAGTGAAGACGGCTGTGCACGAAATGACAGCATGATTGAAGAAGTGGTAGCATGATGGACCGCGTCCTTCCTACCAAAAATTTACCCTAGATTTTCTCGCTTCCTACAGTGATCAATTTTTATGACGAATTCTGTGATAAAATGGGCAATATGGATCGGGGTGACCTCAAATTATACCCGAAGCTGTGGGTCTTCAGTCCCTATGTCAAACTCAACTTTAGAAGCAATCGAACGAAGTGAAGGTGGCTGTACCTGAATTAACAGCATGATTGAAGAATTGGTAGCAGGACGGAACGCGTCTTTTCTACCAAAAATTT